TTTTACTTTTTTTGTACTGCATTCTTTATTTTCAACTAACTGTTTTAACTCTTTTTTATTTTAATTTTAATGTTATTCTACTTTTTTTCTTCTATTTGACTACTGTTTTACATCTTTGCTACCAAATTTCTTCTTTGAACATTTTTTCTACAATTTTAATATATAATCTAATACCCTGCTTTGCATCTTTATATGAAACTTGTTTAGTATACAACTTCTTAAACATACTCTCAACTACTAAGCCACATATGCATGCCTCTCTATGTTTTATTTTATCTATTTTAGTTTTACTAACTAATATTCTTTTCAGGTCAAGTCTTGTAAGCTTGCTTTTGTTTAACTTGTCAAACTTTTTCTATATTAACCAATATGCTAACTCTTTAATATTATTCTAATAACCTTTATATTTTTCATAACTAAACAAATGTCTCGATGATTTTTTCTCTGTCTTGTACTTCTTACATATGTCTGAATTATACAAGTTTGGTGCTTTCTTCTTTAATATCTTAAGCACTATAAACTATTAGTAATACACTTAATTTTAAATAAGATTTTTTTACTCTTCTCTAATAATTTATACTTATTTTCTATTAAATTTCTATTTTCTTTTCACAGCTATCTTTAATCACATTGTGCTTTAGCATTTGGTTCTAGCTCTTTTATTGCACTTGAGCAATACCATTCAGTTCATTCATTATACTTATTAATATCTTGACAAACTTTCTTGTTAGTATCTTTATTACTGTTTTCTTTCAAAATAATGTATATAGAAATCTCAAATTTTTTTCAAGCTTTAAGTCTATAAACTTACTTTGCCATACATTCTCTTTTGCAAGCTTATTAGCTTTTTTATTCCATACTATTTTACTATGTGCTTTAACTTTAACTAATAATAACCTAATGTTCTTCGACTTGCATATGTCTTTAATTTTTGTAACTAATCTAAAGTTTTTACTTTTACTTTATACTCTAATATTATATAGTAGCTTCTCTCTTTTTAGACTTGTAATTGCTGCTGTACTATCTAATTTAATAACTATCTTACTATTATATACTACAACTAATATTACTATTTACACTGCAGCTAACTCTGCTTTTGTAAATGACAGCTATTTTGCTATTCTAATTTTTTCTTTTATTATTAATCTGTTCTCATCTTTGCTAATTTGTATTCAACTTGCATCTATTCTGCAATTCTTTTTCTCTCTTACTAATGACCTGTCTATATAAAAGCTGTAGTTTGTACAATCTACTTTTATGTTCTTTTTCAATTGCTTTAATAACAAAATTTCTAAGCTACTGTTAAATTCTTACATCTTTAACAAATTGATCTCATGCACATGTATTCTTATTTCTTTATCTACAACTTCTTCTTTATTATTGTTTCTATTTTCTGTATAGCTCTCTTTATATTCACTTAGTTCTTCTAACAGAACTAGAATTTTCTGTTTGTTTTCTTGTCTAATTCTTAGCAACATGCTAGCTATTTCTTTTTTCTTAACTCAATGCTAACAACTACTTGTACTATTTTTATTATCCAAATTACACTTTTTATATTCTACAAGCACTAAATAATTTCTATCTTTAATTTTCAATGTGCTTCAGTGATTTATGAATACATCTTTCTTTCTTTTCTTAACTATTCTGCCTATTATCAAATTTATATTCTTCTTATTTATTAGCACCCATTTATGCCTTCTCTTATTTTGTGTTAGCTTCTTGCATATAGATTACATTAGTATAGTATTCATGCCTTATATTTAAAATTCCATTTAGTCTGTTTTATCATTTTGATTACTTAATATTTTCTGTTTAATTTTTGTAAACCACTTTGCTTTTCATCCTCTTTGTGTACTTGTTTGTAATACTCTAAACTTCTTTCATATAATTATTCTCTTGCCATCTTGATTAATTAACTATTATGTAAAAAATACTTTATACTTCATCAATTTCTTATATAGTATTCTGAATGTTTTTTTTTTTATCAAATTATGTACCATTTTGCCTATACTGTAAACCTGCTAAAGACCACCTTCTACCTTTACTGTTTCACCTATTTTTTTTGCTTTAAGTATAATTAGATATGCCAAATTATTTTTTCAAATCTTTTTTAAGTTGCTTACCAAAGCTACATCTATTTCTTCTAATATCAATCCTGTCAGAGCAAAGCCTTGTTTTATTCATATTCTTGTTATTTTATCAATCTAATCTAGCTTATTTAGTCTTCTTTGTACTGACACTAACTGATTATTAAATATTTTTTGACTTAATATTCTACATCTTCCTAAACCTTAATACATAATTGTACTATTTTTTATAGTTTATAACAAACCTATTTTGTTCTTAATTAATCTAATTACTGGTTAATATAAGTGATTAGCTGCCTTTTAGATGCCTTTGTAGTTTGCAACATGTATGTCAATTTTGATATTATACATATATTATTGATATATATTAACTGACTAATAGTTAACTTTTTAAACTATAAGCTTCATATAAACTGTTGTATGATTTTTTTGGCCTTTTTAATAACTAAACTTTTATTTGCTTTTATACTTAACTACACTTTTATTATTTTTGTTAATGCATGCTTTTTTTTAATCTGTAGTTAAAAATTGTTTATTAAAACAGATATCTTCTCTTTTTCTGTATCTAAGTTAACTACTAACAGTTTTGACTTGGCATTATTAATTTGAATATTATTAAATCTAAAGAACTTTTGTGAAATCTGAATAATTTTTTGCATCTCTTCTTTATTCTTTGCCACCTAAGTTGTATTATCAGTATATGTCACTACAGCTTGCCTTGTCTTTTTAACTTCAACTTTGTTTATTTGCAAATCCAGATTTATTATTGTATTATTATTGTATATTATATTATATTTATTATTCATTATTAGTTAGCTACTAATTATATTATATAGTAAATAAATAAAAAGATCCTAATTAGCTATTAGAAATATGATACAGCTATATAACACTAAGTAATATTTGTAATATTACTATTGTTTTATAAAATCCAAATACTTTCATATAAGTTTTATATATTTTAGTATTAAATTATTATGTCAAATGTTATAATACAAAAATTGCAAGTATTCTTAACATAAATCTTAAATATTCTTATATAAACTCAAAATGTTTTATACAAATTCAAGTATCTTAACACAAGTTTCAAGTGTTTTAAACACATATAACAAATAATATAAACAATATCTCTAGTTATTTGTATAATCTTTATTATTTTAAGTATAATATTATATAATATTACTCGAATTTTTACTATTTTTGCTAGGTAAAAAAATATATAAAGAATATCTTTCTTTTTTCTTTGCTAATTCTAAATTTTTATATTTTAATTTAAACTCTATTACCTTTATTTTTAATTTATAAATATAATATTTTTTTAAAAAAAAAATTTTTATAAGTAAGATTATTACTATATATTTGTTTAATAAAGTTTAATCTATATACTATTACTATTTTAAAACTTTTGTTTGCAGCTATGTAATAAAATGAACTACTACATCTATATTTTATATATATATATATATATTGCTTTCACTAAGACTGTTAGTTATTAGTAGTTACTGCTTTTATTGTAATTTTAATTATAATTATATAACTTGTACAAGATTATTCTTATATTATATCTAACAAATAGCATACAAGTTCTTATATACTGAAGTGTCATCTAATCTAACTCTAACCTTTCTGCCTATATATCTATTATACTGTTACATATTCAGAGTACATTACCTAACTGTAGAACTTTAAAAGGTCTTTCTGCTAACTAATTATTTATATTTAATCTTTTGTTAACAGAGTTTGCTTTTGCAAAGTTATTCAGACCCTAGTACTAACTTTATAGTATATCTTTAATACTTAGCTATACCTTGCTTTAGTCTTTAAACTCTTAATTCAGATAGCTAAGAAGAACTGTAATCTGTTTCTAATATCTCAAAGTATTACTTTTCAATATTTTTTTTTTCTGTTTGAAACTTCTAATGGTTTGATTAGTAGTACTCCTTATCTAAGATTTTTGTCTGCCTAATTTCTTTTACATCAATATTTATTTCTTAGATCTAGTTTTTACAGTAGTAATATCAAAAATCTGTGCTATCTTTTTGCTTAGATCTTTTCAAGTAGACACCAACTTCTTAGTTTTATAAATTTATATAACTATAAGGACTTATATTAAGTTTGCACTATATGATGCTAGTTTGTATTTCTCTGTATAACTTCAATATTGTACAAATAACTTATAATCTGTCAGTTATACTGATATAACTATAGTTACAGGTATTTTATTTCAACTGATTAACAGAATGCTATTGTTATAATATTATCTGTATATTATATAAATAATTATTCAAAATTTTTTTGCTATTGGTAGGTTTTGAACTTCCAACCTACTACTTAGAAGTTGACAACTTATTCATTTTACTAAGTTGTCACATTTTTAATATTTGCAATAATTAATTATTATACTGAGTAATTTTGTTACTTAGTTGTATTATACTAAGAAGGCTACAACCTTATAATAATATTGTTATTTTTTTATTTAAAAATATTATTTATAAATATATTTTTTTAATTTTAATAATTATTAATTTGATTGTAATTAGGTTTTTATTTATTTTGTTTTGCATTACTTTTAATATATTTATAATAAAAATATTTTTAAGTTTCAAAACTAATCTTTTTTTTTTTTTTTAGCTTTGCTTTATTTGGTTTTTTTTTTATAGATAATAAATATATATATAAAAAAAATTTTTTTTTATAAAGTATTTCTAAGTAGAAAAAATAAATAAATAAATAAAGTTACTATTAATATATATATATGTACGTACGTAATTTTACATTATGGCGCTATATATTTGTTACATTTTGTAAATATAAAAACAAGAACCCCTTTTTACAATGATTATAGCCAAATTTATCAATTAGATCCGGGAGGTTTGATATCCAAGAATCGACACACCAAACGATTCGAAGGGTATGGACTTACGTAAATAATAAAATCAATTGGAGGAACTTAGTCACAAATAGATGAGCAACATTTTTTTTTGGACCCTACGATAATATAAAAAATTAAAGTTTTTTTAGATACAATAATTAAAATAAATTAAAACCAAGGCGAATTTTATTAACTTTAAATAAATCAAAATGGTAATAAAAACACCATTGTTATAACTATACGTAGTATAATTATAACGATGTTTTTAACATAACAGAAAATTAATTAAATAGTTTATGGTACATAATAATTATCTTTACTAAATAATTGTAATTTTGCATCATATTAATTTATTTAGAAAATAAAAATAGGAAAGTATTAAAAGAACACGCATTTTAAGTAATTAAACATACGCATAAATGAATAATTTACTAAAGAGAATTAGGGAAGCAATTAGCGATGGATAGGATTTTAGATGATTTTACTAGCTTGGGAGAGTGAAATTATGTAAATTAAATATATTACGTATTAATATAGAATACATCTAATTTATAACAAAAAACTTGATACAGCGTCTTGCACGGCGACTATCGGGGATAAAATTGACCAAAAACAGATATATTTCACACACAAATTTAGAAAAATTACTAATTATAGATTTATATAAGAAATAATTCAAGACTCGTGTCTTTACATGATATTCTAAAATTCGATGACGTAAAATATTAAAGGCAATAAATACGGTACAAAAGTACTTAAGGGCAAAAAAAGACCAACGCAGATTTTAATCGAGTTTTGACGATTAAGAAAATTAATAATTACATATAATAAAATTTAAAAGTAAACAAAATGACACAAATTAAAAAGCAAGCAAATAAACGAGCACAAAAAAAGATCAAACATTTGACACATCATGAACAAAAGATACAACTTGAAATTCGGAAAGAGCATACATTATTACCACCTTTACCTTTTCCACCAACGATTCAAATAGAAGACCTTGTTGCAAAACTTACATCAAAGACATCTAAACCAAAGTTAGCAAGATTTCCGAATGCTTTTATCATATATAGAAGTGAATATGTTCAATTTTTGAAAGATAAAGGACTTAATTTTCCAATGACAATGTTATCGGCGATGACTTCATCAGCTTGGAAACAAGAACCAACATGTGTAAAAGATGCCTACACATTAATTTCGAATGAAGCCGAAAAGTTGTACAAACAATCACTTGAAGTAGCTCGAATGTTAAACCAAGGGAATTTACCGAACCAATGTAAAATTTATAGCACACCTAAGTATTATTCGGAGCCAAGAATCAGCAATGAACGCGAATTTTATAGCAATGGATATTCTATGGTAATTCCAGAAATTCCTAAATATGATGCAATTTATTTAAAATCGCAAGATGAAGAATTCATAAAAAAAGAGCAATTCAATAACGATGGATGGCATTTAAGCAATAATTTAAGCAATAGTTTCGAAGCACTCAACTCTCCAAGACTCGAAGAGTTATCACACGACAAAATAGTCACGCAAAGAACAGTTTCTTTCACAGGAAATAAAAACGATGACCTTTTTGATATTACTACGGACATTTTTTGTGAAATCGATTCTGCCTTGTCTTACAGGCAAAACACAAATATTTTTGATATTTGAATTCAGATTTCACATGAAAAAAGGTTTTTTTTACGTATAAAATTTCTTTTATTGTCTACTTTCTTACGTTTCTCCTTAACGCTTGTACGTACGTACGTACTCGTACGTACTACGTACATAAGTACATAACAGATAATGATAAGGACGTTATTTACGTACATACGTACGTATTTAAATGTATATAATGCACATAATAATAATTTTGGCAAAATCGATTTATTTCTATTTTAAAAAAGTTTTTTTTTTTTATATGTTGTAAGACGGACTTAATTAAGACAGACTTAATTAAAATTCTAAATAAAAAAAAACTACTACGTACATACATGAATATGTTTTATTATATAATTAAAAAGGACTTCATATATGGATACCTCGGAAAAATAATTACCGATTTTCTTCATTCGTATTTTTACTTTCGAGGTGACTGTACGTGCTATTTGCTAATAAAAATAATTACGTATAAAAAAATTTTTAATTGCTTTGTGTATCAATATAGCATTCATAATCATTGTTTTTACATAAAGGCCATGTGATCAAAAATCCTTGTAACTGTAAATCTTACATATCTTAATGCCTCATACGTAAATGAAACAGGATTTTCAATTAACAACTTTTTGGGAAATGTCCTGTAGGGGGAACATTATGTACGTACGTACGTAGGAAGAGTCCTGTCAAGGAAGCTCAAGGAAATCGGGAAATGGATGCAACTATATTCCTCATATAGGCATGATCACTATAAATAACATTTGTCATTTCATTATATAATATCAATTAACGTTATATATATACGTATACATTATCATCATACGTATACATTATCCTTATGCAAATACTCATCTTTTGCAGAGACCATAAAGGGTCAAGCATCATCATACGCGTCTGAATGCATAAATGCTATAAAGGATATATGTAACACTTGCAATTGACAACAGGACAGGCCAAGGTCGGGTGAATGTCAAAAATGTAAGGTACTTTCTTTCTGTGTATATAGTAAATTAGTACGGTACGGAAACGCGGACATGATAGTACGTACGGTTTGTAAAAAAAAGAAGTTCTTTCGAAACAAAGCTAATTTTCCTATAACCTCACACGAAAAATAAGAACAATGCTCGCACTTGCCCTAACTTTAAACATTAAAAAAAAAGTGTCTCCTCTTTCATTTGGCATGAGGATGTGACTAATAATCTGTGTGTTGAATAAAGCATTGGCTAAATAATTATATTAAATAATGCTTATTAACCACACCCAATGATTCGTCACATCCTTATTCCGATTAACTGTACGTACTACGTATCAAAATTTTGGTATGTTCGTACATATTTGTATAATCGTACATACTAATTACCTTTTCTTCTTTTTGATACTTAACTCATACGCGTACGTACCTTTTGTATCTTAGTTATCACATACCACATACTTAAACTTGTTTTGATGCAAAGCGCGCGTCTGATTCCGAATTGTATTGTGCATGTGGCTTATTAAGCTTATTTAAAAATTGTCTTATAATCTTAAACATGAAATAATTACGTATACGTACAAGTCTTATGATAATACGTATAACATTTAATAATTTAATACTGTTTTAGGTTTTTATAAGATCGGTTATCATTTAAAAAAGTGCTTTTAAAATTAATTACTGTAGAATTATAGTAACTTTAATTGCATTTACCATTTTAATTGCAAATCATTGCTTTTAAATGTTAAATTAAAAAAAATGTCATTTTAATTCATTAGTTTTATTATTTAAAAACTTATTTCAAATTAAAAGTACGTACGTACGTACGTATTAAATGTTAATATCTCAATTAAGTCTCGTTTATTTAAAATTATTTAAGTTTTGTCTATAAGCTTATTTACCACAGGGACAATCATTTAGCCGACAGATATTTAGACATTATTAGTTTTAGGCATGATTTTAATTTTTATCTTTTCGGTCTCAGCCCTAAGAATCTCTATCATTGTGCGATCAATTTACTGTTAGATTTTCATTATCATTAAATAATTATTTAATACGTCTTGTCATAATACAATAAAAGGCAAGGTAAAACAATTGTCCTATGTATGTTATATGTGCGGAAATATGTACGTACATACCAAAAATTCTGCCGTACGTACGTACCTATTAACTTTGACTAAAAATAAAATATTTCTATATCAAGAAATGTCAATAAATGTCAATAAATAATATACGTATGTATATATTTATACGTATTCATCTTTTTTATTTATACATTTATTTTTTTTATCTTTACGAAAATAAACTAATGCAGAATGAAAATCTATTTGTTATTACCGTTACCTATTAAAATTGACTATTATATTGGATTAATATTGATATGTACGTACGTATGTGCATATGCTTAAGGATTTACACAAATATTTAAATTACAGTTAGTTTATATTAGAAAAATGTTATCTGTTTTCTACGTGTATAGGGGACCCCATTAATAAATAAAATTGGTACCAACCTCATACTCATACTTGGGACCACAAAATTTCAGGTCGGAATCCTGATCAGCTGGGCCAGAATTGACCAATTTTGCCACTTGTTTGTGCTTATGAATTCAACTAAAGTGCTCTTGGAAGTAATTGGCTAGGCTCTCTATATCATTTCTCTTGCCTCTTCTAATTTTTTTAATTTTTTTCAAATTCAATTCAGAATGTCCTTCATATATGTACCTTTCTCTTATATCTGAGTTTTGAATTTAGTTATTTTTTCTAAAATTTTCTTTTTTTGATTATGTTTATATATTTTGTTTGATTTTTTGAATTTTGGTTTTGTATATTGTTTCTTTTTTCTGTTATCCAATCTGTAGTTTTTAGATCTTTTTTTTTTCTTTCTTTGCTTACATATATCTTATTCTTTTGTTTTTTCTTTTTGTTTCTATCATCTTCTGCATTAGAGGTTTAACTATATCTGTTTCAGCTTCTTTTTTCTTTTCTGAAATTTTTTCTTTTTTTTGTTCAATATACTTGAAAGTTGTTAAACATAATTAGTTTTAATTAAGCTGTCTTTATATATTTTTTGTTTTAAATATAATTATTGCAATTCTTTTCTGATTTCAATTTCTATTTGATAAAATATAAACTGATTTTGCTTTTTTACTTCTTAAACTTTATAAAAATAGAACTTCTGAAATGTTTTTAAATAATTTTGTTAATTTTATTATTTTTTTAACTTTCTCTTACTTCATAGTTTTTTTTTTTTTGTTACTTAAATTAGTTTGTTATTATTAATTAATATAGTCTATGAATTATCTTTTTTATTTATTTTTTTTTATCTAAACTACTACTAAGATTTTGTATATAACTTTTTAATTTCTATTATATGGACTTTTTTAAATTTTTTACAAATATATTCTAACTTTTTTTGTTTATATCTGTTGATAAGTTATATATTATTAGATAGTTTCTATTTTTAAACTTTTTGTCTATTTTATAATAGTTTTTATACTTTTTTATTTTATTCTTCTTTTATACATAGTTTTTTTTTTCAGTTTTTGGTATATTATTTATTTTCTTTAAGTTTTCTTACTTATATTTTTTTTGTTTTCTTTTTTATTTTTCTTTTTTAATATTATTTTATAACAATCATTCTCATTTTTGCTAATTTTTTATATTGTTTCTCTTTTGTTATATTTACAGTTAAAGTCTACTTCTATCTATAAGTTTTTTCTTTTAAAAACTTTTTTAATATCTTTAATATGTTTATTATTTTTTAATAACTATTTAATAAATTTTATATGCTTTTTATTAGGGTGTAGGTCTCATAGCTTAGCGGTTAAGCTCCTATACCCTCCACAGTCAAGGTCAACGGTTCAAGTCTGGCTAGAAGCAAAATCGAAAGGTTTTAGCTTCTGTAACCTAATAAGGAGCCTGTAATTGAATACGAAGCCCTGTGGTTAAGTCCAAGTGCAGTACAATG